TTTTCAATTCTCCACAGAGAAAAACGCATCGCCCAGTGTTTGCTCTGAGTATTTTGTAGTGGACAAGGTGTTTGGCGCGACGTAAACTTTTCTTCTCAATGAAGATGAATTCTATGAGCGTTTTATGTGTTCTGGTTTTGTGTAGGAGGCACTGAAGTTCCCACTCAAGCCGGAAGGTGCGCGTGTATGAGGCGTCGCCTTGTCTGTGTTTTGTTTCTTCTTTTTATCTGCGCCTCTCAAACTTAAGCTTTTAAACTCAAACAGGATGAATGGAGTGCGGCTAAGAACAGAATAGGCAGTTAGCTATGGCTACGCTTTCAGATGTCTGCGCCGGAAAGTTTCATTTTCTCGATGCGCTGTTTATAGCGGAAAAAGATGACTCAGTTTCTTTCCTTTTAAGCAGGCTTTTAAGCTTATCTTTAGTGGTAAAATGAGAAGGCTACTAATGTTTCGATGACTGCCAAGTTTTTGCAGTTACGCCATTTTCGCTCAGTAAAAACTCCCCTTCATGATTTCCGTCGTATTGATTCTGCAATTTCACATAAACACACTCTCCCACATTTGTTAAAAATAGTATTCGTTTTTGTCCGAGTACCCTGAGGACTAAATATTTTGCCACACTCATTACTTCCTTCGGTTATCCTGTTGGGGTCGGAAAATTGAATTTGGAGCAGATCAAGATTGTTAATTTAAACTTCAAAGCCACGACTATCGATGAGTTATGTGTATTTAGCTGGGTTTTCGACAACCGCCTTACAGTCTTCTTAAATTGGTACAGTGAAAACTCTGTTATCGCCTTGATGGAATGAATCGAATGTGAAATAGATGAAAATTGTTAATTTAAATTTGAAAGCCACGACCTTCGATGATGGTGACATTTAGCTGTTTCCTATTAGGAAATTGTAAACATACGACGCTGTTTGTCCTCATCGAAATCTATTTTAGCTGATAAGGGCTATTTCAAACATGTGCATCAATGATTTCCAGCTGAAGGGGTTGGGCGAATGCTGGATGAATACGAAACTCGCGGAACATTGTGATCCTTGTTTGAAAAGCCGAGATCGAGAGTGACAATTATTTTTAGCTATAGTCTACATTTCTACTGTCGCGCGCTGTATGAGAATTTTGTAAGCTGCTGATAATAACACGATAAAATCGAATAGAGTAGTAATATTTCCATTTACATGCGTTCGTTTTTGTGATAACTCACCCCCTACATTACAATATTTTCAAACAACAGCAATAATACACAGAATTTCTTCGCTCAAAAAGATAATCCTGGGCTAATCAAGCTTCCGTTAGACCTATAACCTCGACTAATAACGAATCCCAGACTTAAATGACTTTGTAAGAAATGCGAGACTTTTTTAAAAGACCCTACAGAAAGGCTGATACATTTGCTAGATCGGGTGAAAAGTTTAGCGAAGACCCACGATTTTTCAAGGTGCGCCATTCGCCATCGCTGTGGGCGAGAGGTTACTGTGTGTTATTTACTTCAGCTCGGCTACTCTCTTGAAAAGTTTGAATTAATGTACAGTTTGAATTATTATTATCAAATCTGCCCTCGCAAAAATCTGCATTCATGCTCGATGTTTCCCATGAAAATTTTCCTTTGCGAAATATTATATTCATTGTTTATTTAATTCAAAAATCTAGTAAAAATTATTCCAGAACTTCTCTTTTGAAAGGGCGTCTCCCCGACAAGAAAATAGAGGAACCGTGTCTCGAATCTTTGACTTTTTATTTACTTATATTATGTAAGCTTTTGTCCAAACTTTCGACCCTCGTAAGTTACTTCATTTAAACGAAAGTTTAGGTACTCAGTTCGAAAGTGATTCTTTATTTTTAAATATATCTCTCAATAATTTTCAGCATTCTTCCCTGCTTCACTTTCGATCAACTTATTTCATTCATCTGTTCAACTACAGAAGGAAATCATACCGAACACAAATTAAGTGTGGTTTTGAAAATTCAGTGATAAAGAGCGTTTGTTTCCTTGTCTTACTAATTTTCCTTAATCTTTTATCAAGATCTCACTTAACTCGATTTTTCAATAGATATGTTTACTTAAAACAGGTTTAACTCATTGAAGATAGCGCTCTAGTCAGATATTTTGTATCGGTTAAGTTGAGGGGCTGGGCAAGTCGCAGCCAAATCCTTTGATGTTATCCGCACCTGGGCACAGCTGTTTTCGTATTGGAAGTTGATGAGCGAAAGGTATGCCTTTTTCCTTACACAGGAATCTTAAAACGACTCTCTTTGTTTGGCAAGAAGAGGATGAAAAGGACATAGAAAAAAAATGAACCATCTGCGGGAATTAATTGTCACACAAGAATTAATATTTTTGTTCTATCTTAAAAGATGGAACAGTTGAAGCGAAAGTTTTAAAAGAACCGCAGAACTCCCTAACAAAAATTTTAGTAAGATCGTACTGACGTTTTGTCGCGGGCTATAATTTTATCGTGGAAACATCTTAACCTACATCTGATAATATTAAACGATATACAGTTTTATAATTGTCCTCAGGGCATTCATTTGACTGTGTCACGAATCTCCGCTACAAGGCACCGCGAGCAGAAGCCAAAAAAAAAAAACAACAACGTTTCCTCCGCTGCGGTACGAACAAAAAGCTTAAGCATTTTGCGTAGGATGTAGGAACCTATGAACGGAACATCTCTGCTTTCAATTTTTCGTCTGCATCAGGAAAAAAGGTTTATCAAAAGGACAAAGCTTAAAGCCCGGCAAAAAAAGTTTTATCTTTTTTCCTGGCTCAGACCATTTCTTTTTCAAAAACTTCTTGTAATTTTAATGACCTACATTAACTTTTGGACGCGGTTAGTCGGTGTCGATATTTAGGGAGACTGACAATAAGTAAATACGTGTGGGTCCTAACGCATGAATGCACCCTCAGACAATCTTGAGAAGCTATGAATTCAGTTTCTTTTGTTTGTGAAATATTTTCTACCATAAGCCCTAAGGGTTTAAAACTTTGTTTTGCTTTCACGAATACGGCTTGAATTTGCAAACACAACTAAGTGTAATTTTTCGAGATTTCCGCAATGTCTCCGTGCAATTTTGGCCGTGCTTTAGTGCAAGGGGAACCCCCTGATGTGAGTTATAAGTAGGGAAAAAGGAATATTTTGAGAACTATTATGTATCATTAAACGAGACGCCTCGATAATTATCGTAAGCCGTTAAATGCAAACCCAATTATACTTGCGTCAAAGCCTTCCCTAGCATTCTACTTAGAAAAATGGATTTCACTTCGATCTAAATACCTAAACAACCTTTCGATAACTGGCTTCGACTTCTAATGCGCGGTGGGCCTGCGATAATTAAAAGCCTTGAGTTACTGTTGTGAAAGCAATTAGGCCGGGCAAGAGTTATTTTCCTTCTGTTCATAATAGCGAAAAAACAACACACTGCAGTAATACCTCGCTAGACAATCGAAAGAAGTTGATCACTAATTTAGAAGAGGCGGTCGCGAGGAGCCTTTGTCGGCATCCCGTCCAAGCTCTAATTTGAGCATGTTTATCAAGCGTGTCTGAGGTGGTTCTAAGCCCTCAAAGACAGAGCTCTCGAGGGACTCACTGAATTAAAATTGCCATATCATCAAAGGCAGAAACAAACAAAAACAGTGATTATCTCAAGCAAAGAGTCTTTTAGAAAAATCTTTTACGCAAAGGACATAAAGGTCGTTGCGCTAATTCCTTGTGGTTTCTTTGTTGTTAAAAGTTTTCCGGTCGCCGATGACTTCTGTATTTTTTCCCTCACAAAAACACCGCGACTTCTTTTTAATAAATATGACCTACATCAATCACAATTTTTTCCATAGCCTTGGGCGAAGTAGGAAATCTGATCCGTTCCCGCTCCACGCGGAGTTGTTTATGTTGTGTTTAGGCGAGAATTAAACTCAATTTCTCAAGCGTGAAGATGTCTTTACGTTCGCGATAAGTTTCATGCGGGGTGCCTCCATTCGCAAAACGCGCGTTAAACAGCCATTTTTCTCTTGTACCCACAACTAAGTAAAGAAAGCGGGAGAAAAAGGAATTTGTGTATATAAAAGTTGTCCAGGAGGAGTGCCAGCTTGTCAAACAGCTTGCTTTGTGATTATTCCAATTATCCGAATGTGACACCCGTACGGCGGCAAGCAAGCTACAATGTCTCCTAAATTAATGAAGATTGAAGACTCGGCTGGTCGAACTAGAGGTATTAACTGCCTGAATAGTGGAAATAATTACGTCTTCCCGTATCTTGACGAGATGAATGAGAAACGTTCAAAATGGGTGTAAAAAAGCACTTCAAGAGAATTGATAAGCTTTACAAATAAAACGTTTCCTCTCAAATCAACTTTACTACTTAGAGACTTCCGTGCTCGATTTCCCTCGCACGCACTTTTGTGCATTTCAACTTGGAGTAGACACGAAAAGCCTGCACGTATTGCAGGGAAAGTTTTTTGTTTTCAATTGGTCAAGTTTTGTCCCTATATTGTAAAGTAAATCAAAAAGAATTTAAAATCTAGCTAAAGAGAAGTAAAGTGAGTTTATTTTCGCCTCGGAAAGAGAGTGAAGAGAAGATTCTGAAAAGGTAGTTATTTACCCAGGCTTTCACTAAGCCATTGCATTGATGTTTTTCAAAAAACTGCGGCCATCTTCTGTAAAAATGTGTTAGATTTAGCCAGGGTCAATTTCTGTGTGCTTTGTAAATAAAAGAAAACGAAGCATGTCTGGCGAATTATTTCAAGTGCCATTGTAAAATAACCGCTTTTTAAGTGAGTTTCTCGACTGGCATTCAACCACAACGGGAAATAAATCTGTGTTAATCCCTAAAGTTTTAAACCACGGAGAGAGTTTTTCACACGGTTTGATAAAACAGTTCGATTTAAAGTACCACCCGGAACGAAGCTGTATCTTGTGGATCGGAAAGGATAATAATTTGGAGAATACATATCTACAAGCCGAACACTTGTAAGCCGGGGATTTAATCGTGGATATTCGGAAAAAACAATGCTTTAAAGTGGTTATCTATAGACTTATAACTATATTGCAGTGGGAAGCCATTTCAATTCCAATACTACTCGTGACTGATAGAAAGCCATTTATATGCATCGCGGAAAGCCATTATAGATCACATCAGGGATCCAGTGTGTCTGAAACTCTGAGTATTATGTCTTTCTAATTGTGAAAATGATGTAATTCGTACTCGAGAAGAGACGTAAATTTGTAGATAAAAAAGCACTATCATAACTCAAATACAATCTTTGCAATTGAAACAGTACCCTCTCTCTCTCTTTAATTTAGTTTCAAGGTCCAGCTTTGCTTTTTTAGGTTTTATGTACAACTCAATGGTAAATATTAAAGGCTGAATCTTTGATGTCTTGTTCAATTAAATAACTTCCAATATACAGTATTTAAATACAATTGAACAAGGCTCAAAATTTGTCATTTTGATAGCATAAAAATGTTTTCTCTGTTTCAAACAAGTGATAAATTGTCTTTGTTACTCCGTTCACTCTAGGCAATGTTTAACTCATCAAGAAAGATTTACCTTCGATCAGAATTGAAGTCCCTTTGCAAAGGTTAAAAAATCCTTAATCAACCTTAGTAGTGAGAGCCATATGTGAATGTTTCGTTTGAACTAGTTTGAACTTGGAAATCTTATACCTTTAACGTCTCGAGCCGACGTCAAACGAATATGTACAACGTTAACACTATCTCGCGTTCGCCGAGTTCACAAAGGTTTCAAGTGATAAATTTTCTTTCATTAATTCAAAGCTTTCCTATGTTAGGATGAGCGTCATAGACCTAGAAGAAAAAAACATTTTATCAATAAAATCGAAACGTCTTACTACTCTCCAGCCTTGACAAGCTAAGCAACCTTCAGGCTGTTACTTTCGCCATTTTCAGACAGGTTACATGCGCGTTCAATGTCAGCGCCGTTTGTGGCTTTCTCGTCTTCTTTTTCCTCCTTTTCTGACTCTCCTTTCTTCACCGTATCATTGTTATGGGTTTTAACGTGTTTTGCCAGGTGATCACTCCGCATGAAACGTTTATTACAGATGGGGCAAGCGAATCGTTTCTCGCCAGTGTGCGTCCGTAAATGTCTCTGCAGTTCGTCAGATCGAGTGAATCTCTTTCCGCAAAACAACCAGTTACACACAAATGGCCGCTCGCCAGTATGCCAGCGGAGATGAGCTTTCAGATGTGAGGTTTTCCCGTACACTTTGCCGCAGCCCGGAATGTGACAAATGTGTTGAGTCTTTTTCCTAAAAGGTGCACCAGCCGCACTTAATCTCTCGTTGTCTTGGCAGTTGGGGCAATCGCAGGTCGCGCGACCAGTGTAGCGTCGAGTCGCTCTTGCAGTCACACTCTGCGTAGAAGGCAATAAACTTGTCGTCCCTGAAAAGTAAGAAGGTCCATCTATATACGTAGGAAGAGAAGCTTTCATGGGATCGGATCCGAGGCAGGGAGGGGGTAGAAAATGCGGATGACTCGCCACAGAAACCGCAGCAGGAATAGGTAAACTTCCTGTAGAGTATTCATGCGGCAGTCCTGTAAAATGGCTTAACGTTGGATGAAACGAGCTGCCTGATACGGCTGAGTCGAGCCAGGGGGGATTACTGTGTACTTCCCAGAACGCCTGCCGAGCTGAAGCCTGTGAATGGGGTTCTAAAGGTGGTTTAAACCAAGGCGAGCTTTCGTAGGGATGCGGCATCCGCGCTGGATAAATTGATGCCTCAACAGAAGCAGAATGAACGCGACTCGCCGATGCGATAGCTAATGGATCTGTGAGCGAATTGTGTCCTGTTGTATAGCTTGGATTGCTGAGAAAGCTGTCGTGATTCTGAACGCTTAAAGATTCGCTGGTTGGCATAAAGGCGGACGGCAGATTTGAATACAAGCCACTGTCAGTCGGCCTTCCGCGCTGAATTGGAAGGGAATTCGGTTGTTTCCAATGGTAGAAACCTTTAGCCATGCTTGTCACGTCAGCTACGGGTGGCGGGGATTGTTGTCCAATTCTACTGCAAGTCGCTGCGAGCATCGCAAGAGGTGTCAATCTGTAATCTGTCCGTGTTCCCGGCTCCTGCAAGAAGTACAAAATGAAACGTGTACAGAAGCGAGCAGCGGCCGTCAAACATATCGTATTAGCGCGCGTGGTGTAATCAGCTTAAAGTTGCTAATCAAATCACACTAAATTCCTGTACAAATACAACGGAACAAACCTGATGGAAAAAAAACCTTCTCATAGAATTTAAACTTGGGTTGATTTAGGGAAGTTCTGTGATCTATTTTTGTCGGCAAATTCACGAACACTTCTACGCCCCACGAGCTCTGAGATGGACTGTTGATTCAATTCAGCCTAAACCCCAAGTACGTAGCCTTTTGAGATGCCGCCACTCTCGTTCATAGCCAATCAGCGATACAGCAGGGCCGTTCATGACACAATGTGATTGAATGATAGGGATTTGTTGATATATAATAAGTTTTTCCAAATGGAACCATTATTCGCAACCAATCCATACCAACAAACAAAGGCCCAACTCTATCGGCCTTCAGGCGGGCGTTGAAAGTGTAATTTCGGAGCTCGCCAAAATGTTGACAATTACATCTAGCCAAAACACTTGCAGCTGCAATGGCTAAGATTTCGAGTTCTGCCACTTCACACCTCTCGATTGGAATCGGAAGCCATAATTGTCTCAATTGGAAAAGCTTTACACTGCGACATAAGTTTCTGTGTACTTCAACTCGTGCGTTATACTATTGTGTCCGCTATGCTAGCTCGTTATGATGACCGGTGCCTCAGAAAGACCAATGTTCTTGCTTTGTCGAGAGATTTTTTAGATATAAATATCAGCTTGTGGGTGGCACACAGTGAGTCGGGGGCGTTATTTAGTTGAGAAAGGGGGCGGTCGAGGGCTGTTCAGTAAATATGATGCCATAAAGACGCACCACTTTACGACTACTGATCCGTGCATAGACTAAAAAAAAATTTCCATGTTTTGTTTACGATTGAAAACACATCTTGAAATTCGACTTCGACGACTGAATACTTCCTTAATTCAGAAACCTGTTTTACTTCCTAAAAGATTTCGTGTTAAGAGCCGGCACCGAGATTATTCCAAAGGATGTATTTAATTTTAGCTTGTTTTGAGATGTGATTTTCACGGCGACGGAGGTAATTGTTTTCTAACTAGCAAGGATGATAATTGCAATTTATTTCAAAGAGTGTTGTTTGCTCCACAGAACTCTCGACTACATTTAACTCCAATTTAATTTACCCCATCGGATACACGAGTCGGTTAAAAATTCTGTTGTTGTTCCTAATTTTTATCGGCGGGGTTTCTCGAAAGATTACAACTTTGTAATGGGTTTGTATAAATGGTGAATGTTTCGTCGCACTATGTGGCGTTTTTAAGCGGATTTCCCGCAGAGAATCGCTTTAACAAAGATTTGCTGCTATCATAAAGAATTATGTATGTATACACTCTCACCATGGATTCAGTAAGTAGACAATATAATAATACGATACAAAATTAATCCCCGTCAATAAATCCTAGATGTTTTAACAAATAAGAAAGTTTCTCTGAAATAAAAGAATCGAAAAGAGACAAGGCAATTTTAAATGGACCTCGTTGAAGAGAATGGAAACAGTGTAAGGAGCGTTGTTTGGTTTCTCGACGTGATGCGCGCAGTCAAATTAGTATTAAGTTACTTTCAGTTTGCCGGCACTCGAATGTATTGAAATTTCTGGGCCATGGGGCATAATCTGGTTTCTAAAACTGTACGACTCCAAGCGAATGCATTAGCAAGCAACGTTTTGTAAACACTGATTTTCTTCAGAACTCTCTTAAAATGCTAAAATACGTGGGCATATTAAAGTTATTCATACCTGACGATGATCAAAGCGGTCCCGCCGAAGTAACAATCTGCAGTGATTTGAAGGCGAGATACGTTGATACGGGTGGTTTGGCGTAATACCTCCCCTTCGATCTTCTTAGCTGTTAGTTCTAATACATGTAAAGTTGCTTTTGCGCTTCGACTCACCGGCCTGAGTTTTCAACGCACACGCAAGCAAAATATTGTGCCATCAGGCGTGGTTTGCGAAATTATCGATGGCCTTAAAAACTGATAGATTTAATTAGAAACCTTTTGATGTGCCGCTCCTGATTGATGCTCTGCCTGTTCTGAGAACGCATCAACGACTTCGCGTACAATCAATGACACCTTCAATTTAAACGGGCGATAAGGATTCCAGCTGCAAGCCTGCATTAAATCGGAAAAGCTCATTGTTCCTCTAGTCGAACAGAGACGCATAATAGAGAAACCGATTTAGAGGGTCAACTTGCCTTAGGCTTGCAGTACAAGTGTTAATTATAGAGAATGTTAAAAAACTCTTCCAGCTACGGTCATATTACCGGCTTGTTCAAATCTGAGTGCAAATTGCGAAGGTACGCCCCCCTCTTCACTTTCGGCTGACATCTAAAGAGATTAAACCTGTAAAGTCAAACGCTCGAAGAGTATCCAGTCGTATTTGAAAGAACGTTCATGTGCGCGTTCAGCATGCGTTGCCAACGTAGTTGTCTCCAATCGATTGTCCGGTTGTCGCAAGGGTATTTGACTAGGTTCCTATTGTTTGCAGACCTTTCCTTGTCTGTCAGAACCGATAAGAATCTGGTGAAAATTAAATTCACTGGTTTTTGTGGGTTTCGCGGTGGATGAACCTTTAGACAACACATATTCGCTTCTAGAAACGGCGTGCGCGTATAAAGGCTGGATGTTAAACACGGTTTTAACAAGGTGTCTCTTAAATTAGAAAGGTAAATGTTGGTATTTACATAACATTTTGTACGTGTTAATAGGGTTGTTTATAGTAGGAATGTTTACATTTCGCGCTCCGCCGCAAGCGCATTCGATAATGAAATTAGGAAATACATTTTGGCTTTGGGTGGTTTAATTGTCGTGTTTCTGTCGAGAGGAATTTTGATTTCCGTGTAGCTCACATATCGATGGAAAAAAATCTCGGTATTAGAAAAGATTGCTTTTCGGCTTTTGAAGAAAGATTTGAGTGGTTTCTTTGTATTCCTGTGCTTTCACACTTTTTATTTGAAAAGAAAAGGAGTTATTTCATCTAAACCCCTTAGAATTGAATACAATCTTCTTAATCTTCACTTGAGGTGTGTGTATGAATTAAACATCTCTTTATTTTACACGTGGACGTTCCAAACAACACTGTGGGTAAATTTCACTTGACCAAAAGTGAAGCTCTTGCAAACAATGGCGCTAATTAAATCAAGTACGGTCGCTTGTGTTTATTTGCTTTTCTATTAGCTTGTTGCGAACCGGCAAAGTGGATACCCATCATAAAATCATAACCCCCGCTGAGAGACTAGCAAACTTTTGAGAATTATTTCTCAAGTTAAAGTCAATTAAGGTACACAATAACTAAACGCTAAGCACTACCGTCGAATCGAAATGTGTTGAGTTTGAATGCCTCAGCTGAAGGAAAAAAAAATCTGCTTGTAGGGTTGTTAAAAGCAATCTCCCAGTTTGTTACAATTTTATTTGTTGATCGGCGAAGGAAACACATCTTAAGCTTTTTCTTTTAAAACCCATCTGTTGTTATACGGTTTAACGTGCACTTATGACAAAAAAAGCTACTTGAATATCTTGTTCAATTGAAATTGCCAGTAGCAATCTGTTAACTTATGCTTTTGTGGTTGGATAGTGTTTCGTTGTCGATGACTTTAGGGGCCGGCGAAATGGCTAGAACAAGTTCATAAACCCTTGAAAGGTGGGCTCCTTCTAAACGCGCGGGCCTAATGTTCAGGTTTAGAAGGGAAAATTAGAAAAAAATATATTTCGGTTGAAAACGGCCATTCTTAAGACTGCTATTCATGGATTGCTTGTTAAGCTTAATTATTTTTCATTGTTACTCGTGGTACAGGAAGGATTCCCTGCTGAGGTTTTCTGAGAAAGAGGACAGTTGGTAAAAAACAAAGAAATTTATTTTTCTTTACGTGTAAGGAAACTCGTTGAATTATTTCAGATGTGAATTTCTTCACCCAATTAAAATTTTCGAGGGTTATGATTTCCCGGAACAGTTCATGTCATGTTCAACAATGAGTTTTTCCCCGATGTACCGGCCTTTCTGGAAATTCGAAAGCCACTGCTGGCCGGGATTTCCTTTAAGAACGGATAAACACCGGCACTGAAGGCTAACAAGGAAATATTTCACACGCACAGTTCAACATACAAACCAAAGCCCAATTTGTTCATTTTTTAATTAACAAAGTATTTGAGCTTCATTTGCTGTCGGTCCTAGTTTAGCTGGTGACAGGAGCTAATGAAGGCAGTCTTTTTTTTCTGTTAACTTTCATAGTTAGCACATATCAGATTTGAGAGAACCGAACTTCATCATTTATTTCTCAAAAATTTCTATTTTCATTTGTTCGGTTGCGGGTCAGAAATGTGATAAATCACACGAAACTACAAAACAGATTTGATTGCCGCTAGGGTTTGTAACATCTGTAACGGCCTTTAAGGCTAAAACTTCTATCAGGAAATGTTCAATTCGTGATTGATGACTTTTGACGATTGACGAATTCATAAATCTTTCGACGAGTAATTGTTTGAAGTTTACACGTGAATAAATGTATTTTTTAAATTGGATGTCATCGTCGGCAGCCAAATTATATTTTATTAGGTGAGGGGTTCAGCAGTTCTCTTTGATATGAGAATCTTTTGTTCAATGGGGCGCTTCGATTTATACAACACCTGCCTCGCTGAAAATTTCCATTGTTATAGAATTTCAGGCCATGCCCTTAAAAAAGGACTTTTCCCACCTCAGTAACATATGGTAAGAATAGGAGTGGAAAGCTCGGGATAGATTGTTGTATTCTTAAACGACACGATTTTTAATTGCACCCAGAAATTGCTTAAACATGGCTGTTGAACTCACAAGAGGTTGAAATGCGCTTTTTTTTTCTTTTCGTACCTGCTTCATCGAGGGTTTTGAATTGAAGTAGCAGGCACCAGTCAAAGCTATGGAATGTCGCCTGATAAGAAATGCTTTGGAAACTGCGAGCCTTATGAATGTGGAACCTGCTTGCGTTTGAAAGAAAGAGGGGAAAGATACTTTTAATCAGTTTTGTGACAGCACGATTTGGCATTCAGTCGATTTAGGCCGAGGCGCTATTTACAACGAGGGGATATTTAGGAAACACACTTTTCAGTAACCAGCTGTGCCGGCTTATTTAGACTTGTTACAATAAAAACTCGGATAATTCAGAATTACTGGGCGGGCTCGCTCAAGCCAAGCAATGAAAGCCAATTAAGTGTTGAAGCCTGCACTTTGTTCGAAAAAGCGGTGTGTATTAACATCGCTTAACTCAAGTGGCGCTTAGAAAATCAACTTAACAACTTCAGGGCCCAATAGTTATAGGCCTCGTTACCTTAATTTGGGGGCAGAGTTCTTTAGTTTTGTCGTCTTTTGATGACACTAAAGTACACTTCTCCATTAACTCAATTTTCACCTGTAGTTAAAAGGGTTATTTGTGATTCGAACTCACATATAAATTCAAGAAAAGAAGCCATTAAAAAAACGAAACCTGTCTTTCTTTTTTTAACATTTCGCTCTGAAGAAGGGCTAACGATCGAAACGTCAGCTTACAAACTCTTTACGCTGGCCAATTTCCAATTTTAGCTCAGTTGAAAAAACAGAATTATCTTCGTTTTTTTAACGATTTAAAAAAAAATTCTGCGCTTGATTGTGGATCAAAGTAGTGCTACTTTTGTAAGCGCACTCTTGTTTATGAGAAGTAGATATGAGTTTTTATATTGCATCTTTAAGGTAAAATGTGGTACTAATGCGAAACTTTGATTCGCAACTGGTCACAGAGTTTTCCCTTTCACATAGATTCATCTACTTTGCCCGCTTTTGGAAAGTCTTATAAGAAAGAGTGCTTGTAATGATATCTAGTGCCTTTCAAAGGACACCTTATTACTAACAGAAATGACATCTGCCAGATTATTTCGGGAAACCTTTAATTTGCCCGCTTCGCAGTCTAATTTCATATATGGCACCTAATACAAACTCAAACCGAAATTTTTATTAGTGATTTCGAACTTTCCAGCACTCCGTACTGCAGCGAAAATATTTGTTTTTAAGGTGGTCGCTATATTTGGTAAATCGACAGCGGGGAACTAATTAGAAAACATTGTGCTGAAAGGCCACATGGAGAGCAAGAAAAGTGATCCTTTCACTGTCAAAACGAAAGCAACCAGGTCGGTGGTTGTTTAGAGTAATTGGCCGCGCACAGGTGCTACTGGCAGCTTATTAAATAGCATCAAATGTGGCCTTCTAAAAATTAAGGTCGAAAAGTGATTTTTGGAAATTGTCGGGTTTTTTTTTCAACAAAAAATTTTTTGGTATTAAAGCCAAGGGTTGTACGGAAAAAACTAAATTGAGATACAAGGCTGGGGTTTTTAATTGATACTGACAAATAAGCATATTGCATTGTCGAGGCTGGTTAAGTTATAAAAACACTTCTTTGTCTTTGGCGAATGGTTGTGTCTGTCGTTGTCACACACTGAAAACGAAAAATTATCATGGCCCCGGTCTGATTCTCCTCAATCTGTTTCTTTTTTCTTTTAACAATGTAACGAGAAGGATTTTTCAAGGGGAAGCAACGGTTTTGCAAATTCAAGGAGTTAGTTGAATGTGGAAGCTCACTACTTAATGTGGAGCATTTAACAAAATGTTTGATCGAGCTCGTTAGCACCAGTATTATGTTAACAACTGCACTGTGATAATGGAAAGGGTTAAGTTTTCCTCAAGATGTTTCTACAGGACGCGTTTTACATACAGTAACTTCGATGCGACTCTGAAATACTGGGAAATCAGTTCATGTTTTGTGGAACTACAAAATGTAAATTTGTTCAGTGTTTTGAAATTTAACACGGCACGGAAAGTTTTTGTACGATGCTATATCTCAGAAATTAATGACAATCAGCCATTTTTTAGTTTGGTGTATTGGGAGCTCAATCGAAGCTATCAGAGGTAGAAAAAATGTTAAATAAAGGATTTTTTCTCCTAAATTTTAACTTTTAGAATAACGCAGCCTTTTAGCAGGACATAATATGCATTTTACCATCAATTGCCTCCTCA